TTGAACATTATTAACAATTTTTAACCATGAATTGTTAAACATATTTCTATACCATTATTAATAATTTCTAATCTATTTGGTTTTTGAAATATTAATCTGCATATAACGTGGGGAATAATCTATTTTTCAAAATATGTATGTTAGTACCTAAAAAAAATATATATATGTTAGTACCTAAAAAATGTTTTAAGTATATATACACCACATTTTTATATTAAGGATTAACCCCATTCAACGCATGATAAGATCAGATCTAAATTCTAAAATACAAGAAAAACAATCGCACATGGTTTAGTTTGTCAAGTAGTTTGACCTAATTATATATTTCATATTTGGCACTAGTACATAACAATTCTAGATATGTGTGACTAACGTGCATATATATACTATATTGGTAAATTAACAAAACAGAACGTGCATATATTAATATCTATTTATATGCACATTTCAAATAATAATTGTACTATGTTTTTAAGAATGTAATTTCCACGTTCTGTTGTGATATACTATTCGTTTCACCTAACCGATGCATATACACTAGTTGATATAGTTCTGACAGCACCAATTAGCTTATATTATTACTGTTTTTATTCTTACATATCTTTTATATATTAATTGAAGAAATACTAAATAAAAAATTCTTATATGTCACTTAACAAAATTTTTGAGAAAAAAATTAATTAAATTAATCAATCAAAACATTCTAAAGAATTCTACATATGTCATATTAGAAATCTCTATATATCTACATTAACTTTTTAAGATAAACTCACTTATACATATATTACAAATTTAAACCCAACTAAAATATAATAGTTTAATATTATAAAAGTTACATAACAAAATGTTTTAATGTTAAAATTATGAATCATTTACGATGCTTACATTCAATTTGAGTGTCACCGAAACTAAATTTTTATAAGATAAAATATATTTATCTGAATAGGAGATATCATTTGATATTTGCTGTTTATAATTTTTTCTGTATATTATAAATAGGGACAATTGAAAAAATACTATTTTAGTGTGTATATTTTCAAAAATACCAC